GTCCCCAAGCTCTATGAAATAACGGCATTAGGTTGGCTACCTTCCAGTTCGTCCTGAATTTTTTTGTTTTGTTTTAAAACGCAGGATTGAGAAGGCCAGAGAATGCTTCCTGTCTCCCTTTTCCTTCGTTTCTTCCCTGACATATTGCTCCTTCTGTTCCCAGTAGATCTGCCATTTTAATAACTTCAAACCTCTTAAACGGTTTTCCATACTATTTGTTTCTATCTCTGAAGCACGAGTTTCTCCTTTCTCATTTTGACAACGGCCACCCCCCAAAATAAGGGCTCACGATTTTATTGAGTAGGCTTTTAATGTCAGGCACTGTGTTTAAGAAATAAGTTTTCTATTAGTGATCTGAAAAAGGGCAGCAACCAGATTATAATCGATTCTGTGTTCTGACTTGTGGGTTATTATGAATACATGTCAGGGAAAGAGCTGAGAAATATGTCTGCACATCCATTAAGAGAGACCAAAAATGGAACTATTACATCTGGGGATTCTAATCCAATGTACTAGCGAAGTGTCTCAGAAACGCGGTGAAACTAATTAGATCTGATGATATTAAATGTGCATCTTGTATCTTTTTTAACAGAGTTTAATCCATTATTCTCAAATCTAATAACAGAAAAATCCTTTCACATTTAATGATCTCTCAATAGAAAGGCCCGTAGAAACATTTTAATTAAAATATATCGGTTAAAAGTAAAGTTTTATGTTTTACTGGTAGAAGTAATGAGGAAAATGAATACTGATTTGCATTTGTAAAACTGCATTATGTCAGATGATCTTCAGGGTTGCTCAAGCGCTTTATTTGTTTAATAAGTGAGCCACCGACCAGGGCATAAAACCTTTATATTACAGACCCTTTCTGTTTCAGCAGGCTTTCAATTTTTTGTTTTTGCAGTGACCTAATCTGCCTTTTCTGAATGAGCCACAAACAGGCAGGCACTCCCCAGTCCAAGCGTGGATGGGGGCCTTCGGGGGGGAGGTGGGGAGGTACAATGTCTCCATCACGAAATGAGACAACTGTGGAGTGGAATCTAAAACTCTCGAGAAAGTGGAATTGGATTCCAGGTAAGTGGGATAAACAAAGCCCTGCCGAGGTGGCAGTTTTTTTTTCTTTCCTTCTAATTTATCAAAACCGCAATGTCCAAGCCCAAAGTCTGTGCATCTCTCTTACAAGGCGCATTTACTGGGCGTCAGGTGTAATCCCAGGCAGGAGAGCCTGTGCGTGTGCAGTGCACACAGACCTTCCCCGAGGGGCCGCTGCAGTGGGCTTTGAGTGACCGTTGACACGTCCCTTCTCCAGTGCTGGTTGGACTGAGTACACCTGCCACGAGCAGGTCAGGTTATCCGGGCAAGCCGTCAAACACATACAGACAGACAGACAGACAGACAAATATTCGTGTATACTTGGCAAATACATTTATGTTCCAGGCATGAATCTTAAAGCATGTATTATTCCCATGGTTGGAAGTGTTTTCTCGTAGATTTCCATCTCCAGGATTTTAAAGTTAAAATTAAAATAGGCACTGCATTTACCTTCCCTATTTAGTATATACTGTACCATGTGACTATAAGTTTCGTACGTATTCATCATTCTCCCACTGCCATGCCTTAGCTTGATAGAATGCCCTCTCCCACATCTGAGTGCCCAGACCGACCCCTCCAGGGATGCATAGCTTTGAGGCCAGTGAAATAGTACTGGGTCTGTGGTCAAGGGGAAAAACTTGAGGCAATGTATTTAACTATGGTTAAATCCAAGTTCTTCAATTTTCTAATTAGTAGACTTTCTACTTTCTCATGCTTCCATTTCCCTATCTGTAACATGAAGATATTTATATTTCCTTTTCGAAGTATTTATGGGTTAGTTGGGATAATGTATTGAAAAGATCAAAATGATCAGGACGCCTTTCCTTGCCCTGCCAGCGCTGCCTTCCCCACAGAGCTCTCCCGCACGCTCGCCCCTCGCTGGCAGCAGCACTGCCTGCCCCGGACGCCTGCAGCACCTCCTCTGTCCCCAGCGCTCCCCGGGCTGTTCGCTGCACTGGGTTATTCACTCAGTGAACAGACACGTGTTGAATACTCACTGTGCATCAGGCTTATATTTTTCCTTAGCTAGTCCTTAAACTTCTTGAGCTTACAGCTTTTATAATATTCATAGCCCCCCTCCATTACCCAGAAGGCGTTTGACTCTAGTGCTTGAACAAGAATTTTCTTGTTCTGTATTTGGTAAAATACCACTATTGGGTCAAACTGATCACTATGTGATACAGGCTATCTCTGTATCCATCTTCGTGCATGTCCACGCCCTCAAAAAGGATTACAGGCCAGAAGTTGTACTTATATGTAATGCCAGTGCCTGAGATCATCATTATCTTCATTCTCATTAAATAAAAATAGTACAATAAAGAAATAGCCAGCCTTCCTGAGACTAAGGAAGATTATTCTCTTTTTATTTCCCCATGAGTCCCTAGAGTGGTTCTTGCGAGAGCAAACCGTGGTTTCCGGAGAGAGAAAGTGAGTGCACAGGCTGTGGCTGTGTCTCCACGGAGTCGCATTAGCACAAACCTAAGCAGGCTTTCAAAGAACTCTGATTTGTAAATAAAGACTCTCATATATACAATATCACGGCTAGATGAAATTCTAAAGTTTAAGGGGAAATTGCCCGGTTTCAGAAAGGAGGCTGTGTGTACAGAGCACCGAGCCATCCAAACGAAGGCTTGAGCAAACCATTTAGGAATGTGGTCTTTGCTGGCCCAGACATTTCACGTCGTTACTGGAAATAAGTTATGTGGTTCTGACACTATTTTACTGCTCGTGGATGAACTGTACTACGGTGGAGTTTCACTCTAATTTGCTATTCCTCCTAATTGGCCGCAGGCTAGGAAACCAGAAAGCCAAACTGGTTAGAACTGTGTTTAAAGTAAGAACGGCTAGGTTCAGATCTAGGCCAACGCAAGTCTCTCACAAGCAGGAGTAAGCGGAAGTGCACGGCTTTTATAACATCTGTTCTGAGCTCTCTCTCTCCGAGGTGGAGTTCTAAAAGGAAACAACGCTATGAACTTCCCATGTCACATAAGCAACTTTGTTAGGGTGTCTTTCTTTCCCATTGCAGTTTCCTCTGGGAAAGAAAATGCAAGACTTCCTAAACAGGCTCCCGAGGAGTCCACCTGTGGCAGCTTACCACAGACCACGGGCGACTTGAAGCAGAAACAAACTCACGAGCAGGCTGTACACGTGCGTTCCAAGTCCGAGATCTCAGAGAAGCTGAGCTTCTGGGCTTCCACCAAGGTCACCACCCACAGCCACCTCGGGGCTCGCAGGAGGCACCACCCACGGCTTTCAGTTCCTCTGGGACGAGGCGCCACGTGACAGAGGTCCAGACCAGGTCCTACGTGTGGAGGGACAGAGATTGCAGATGCACCCCCCTCTCCAATCCGCATTCTATCTTTGACTGGTCTGCCCAGGAGCCTGAGTTTGACTTTGTTCTTTACATGTTTTTGCCACAGTGACTGACGTTAATGCACAGCTGCTGCACCCACGATCCAGCTTCTGTGGTGCTGCTCGTCCTGCCTTCCCTCTTCTTCTGGGGCCATTCAAAACGGAAGGGGTGTGGGAGGGGTGCGGGAGGCTGACTGCCCGGAAGCACCACTGGAAGGACGTGGACGAGCCCTGGTGTGCAACGGACTTCCCCCGAGGGGAGGACAGGCAGCCCAGAGTCCAGCACATATTAGAGAGAGATGGCTGCTGCTGCTGCTTCTTCTTTTTACTGAATTCTGAATTTGTAACACTGGCTATCCCACATTCAAGTCAAAATGCCTGTCCAGATCAGACTTCAAAACTGGCCTGTCATCACCTCTGATCTTTACTGAGCATTGTGAAGGAGAAAGAGTCCATTGGGGGCTAATTGATCCCAGGCCTGAAAACTGGACATGGGTTTCTATGGCTACTTCGGAAGAAAACTTCCAATAATTCAAATCCAGGTATCACCTAATGCTTCGACCGGAGCACACACACTCTGAACATTTAACAAAAGATAGTAGGCATGTTATTTAACTCTAACAGCACAGAACTGAGTTTTCAGTGACAGAGTAAGCAAGAGTTAGTGCTATAAAACCCACAGCGTTGTCAAGCATAAGTAGATCCAATGGAACTTGTTCAGATAGTAAGTACTCGGGCAACACTAAGGAGGCCATTATGAAATCATCCAAGACCTGAGACATATAAAGACTTTATTAGTCATCACCGAAATAAAGTGCATACAAGTTTGTCTTTTAAGGGTCTGAAAATCCTTATGTTTTTGGTCTGCACAGCCATAAAACAGTGCCTGACAAATTTTAAGTGATACTCTAATTAATCCCTGGGTTTTTTTTATAGTTTCTTGTAAGCTGTCAGTTAGGTCCCTTTAACAAGTCGCGGTGAGAGGAAGTCCTCTCGTACGAGCACGGAGCTCCCAGTCCCCTGCACAGACCCATGGCCCAGACCCCGGACTGTGGCGCTACGCACCTGCGAGAAGTGGGAGGGACCGTTCACCTGAAGGTCACTGTCACCTCCCACTGACGGAAGCAGCTTGTGAAATGTGCACAACATCCACAAACAGACAGAAAATTATTTCAGCTGCAGCTCTGTCTTGTCCAGGAAACACTTAGGGGGCATCTTTACACTGTTTCTCTGGTGAAAGTAATACTTTTTAATACACTAGTAATATGACCCCCTTTAATACTATCACATAGTCAATAACTACCATGAAAAAGCATGACCAAACAGTCTTACATACAAAAACTGCTGATTTATGCTCTTCCCTTGGATGCCGTGATGGTAGAGACAATCCGGGGCGATTTTACTCCTAAAGGGGAACTTAATGGAAGGGGGGAGGCAGATTTTTTAAGGGCCCATCATCAGGAACAAACAGCTCCAATGAGAAATGGGAATTGGCTCTTAAAGAACGAATTACATTTTCTAAAACAAAAATTTCTTCAATAAAGACGTTCACTTACCTCGTGATACAAGGGAGCACTACCGCCCACGACGTTCTTTCCCTTTTTAGTGGTGGTTGCAAAGAGTGCGCTTGCTTCATCAATCTGTAAGAAAAGTAAACTGATCTCTAAGGAGAAAGAAAGGCGTACATCAAGAATACTTAGGTATGTGTAACTTTCAAATACCTAGGTGACCCGACGGGCTCGGGAACCCAGCAAGGAAGCGCTGTGCATCGACACGGTGAAATGTTTAGAGTCACTGTGGTCAGCTCTCAGCACCGCATGAGCAGGTGCCGCCTGACAGGACTCAGCTGGGTCACTGGCCTCTCTGCCTCTGACCTCTGACCTTTGACCGCTACGGTTCTCTGTAGACTTACTTCCTCTTTCTAGTCAGGCTTCCCTGGAACATCCAATAGTTTTGTCTTTTATTTTGTTGAATCTCTCATGAAATAATTCCCCATGGAGCCTGGCATGGCTTCAGAAATTTTGGTTGAGTGAATGAATGTTGAATGAGCAATATTCGAGGACAAAATATGATTCTTTCAGATTAAACAATTCAAATTAGTCTAGGTAAGTGTTTAAAAGAATCCACCAAAATTTACCAAGTACCCCAAGAATAGGATAGTTTCATATGTTATTTTATCTTATTATTTTAAGAAAAAAACCTTCAAGGGGCTTGGGAGTGGGAGAGACAGGTACCTGGCAGAGAACGTCTTTCCACGATACCAGGCTGAAGAGCTTCCGCTGCGGCACCTGGACTGCGAGGGTGAGGGCTCGAATGAGAAGGTCGTCCTCAACCTGGTTTCCAACAACAAAAGCGATGGAGCCCTTCCAGTCGTTCTGTTACAAAACCATAAGGAATTACACTCCTAATACTCCTGGCTAGGTCACTGTGTGTCACAGGCTCCTACTGAAAACCAGGATAATTTTTCCCGGTAAACCTTGCCTGAAAAACAACAGTTGACCTTTTGCGGGTTCCTGATTCACGTGGCCACTAGGCGGCAGTGTTGTGCCAAATATCATGCAGCTTGACCAAAAAGCTATTTTCTTGAGAAAGTAGGCCTTACATTTACAAGGAAGGCAATTTTTTAAAAATGACACCCTTTCCCTAGAATGCTGTCCAAGAATAATTTGGTGTAGAAAATCAATAGTTCATTCATATGTTGCAAAATATACATTAAGATATAATCACAAAAGCAGAAATCTTTGTTTTGTTCCCTGATACACCCTAAGAGTCTAAATAGTGCTAGGAACATAGTAGGAGCTCAAGAAATATTCATTCATATGTTGCAAAATATACATTAAGATATAATCACAAAAGCAGAAATCTTTGTTTTGTTCCCTGATACACCCTAAGAATCTAAATAGTGCTAGGAACATAGTAGGAACTCAAGAAATATTTGTTAAATATTGTTGGGTAATGCTGATTGGTTGCTAAATGGGATTTTATAGTAAGTAAAAAATACAACCCTCAAAGTTTTTGTAAAGCACAGAACTACCAGAATGCATCTTTTCCTCCCAATGCAACAAAAGAATCTCACTGTTAATTCACAAACGAGTTCTTTCCACTCTCGAGAAATAGGCTAAAATATGAAATTGGGACATGAGATTTTGTATCAAATAACTAAAAGAAATGTTACTAAGGACAATATTCCTATTCAGTAATCCCTTTCCCTCTATTATAATTATAATTTCTGCCAGGAAGGATCGACTCTGTGGAGGAGACTAAGAATGGAATTTACTGGATTACCTGCTACAGATGCAACCTGCAAGCCAGGTCTAGTGCTGTTGAACTCCCACAGTCTGTGGGGAGATGGACCGCAAACACGATACAGGCATTACAAAGGAGAGGCAGAAAGGTGAGGGAGGGCATGGCAGCCACGGGAGCTCTCTAGGCCTCAGTTTCCCCATTTGTAAAATAAAGGGATTGAACGGGGCGGTATCAGCTTCCCTCTAGCTTCACTTTGTAGATTTGATTCCCAAAGAGTATAACACTCTCTTGGTGGATTCCAAAACAATGTCTAAGATGATTTGGCAAGATTCTGCCCAAATTCAATGAAACACATAATTTTATGTGGTTCCCTCTGGCTTCTGCCCACTTCATTATCAGGGTAATGGCAGAACTGGGGTGTAGACTCCTGTACAAGATCTTAGCGCCAGTGCTTCCTTACCATGACGTAGTCATTATCACCAAACATCTCTGACTTCTCTCCACGGAACTCCCCAACAACTAACAAAACCCACCGATTTTCAATGCTATCACCAGAATAAAAACTGCATGTAAACGCACAAAAATGCATACTTGACCAACCAAGAGCAAACTCGAGGTTGCCCTTGCATGTGGGTGTGGTTTTTTTCCTCTGTTACGGTGAGTTTGAAACCTGTTGTTTTTTTTACTGTTGTTGTTGTTGTTGGCAAAGTCACCCTAGGAAGACTGAGCATCTGCTTTTTAAATATTGTGATTCTGAGAAGCATGAGTGAGATTTATAAGGTATGCTTCAGAAAACCAGTCCATGACCACAGTGACCTTTTCTGCATTGGAAGCTTTTCTCTTGTCTGCCCGCAGGCACAGGTGCAACCGTGGTCCTCACTGAAGGAGGAAACCTCGTTCATTCTCACCGTGAAGTGCACATGCTTTCTGAACGGGCCATACCTCGATGTCCCCGTCAGCCACACTTCCCGACACTGAAGATTTTAACGGCCACTTCTCTAACCCCACTCCCTACTGCAATTGTCTTGCCAATATGTGAAAGTTAATGGTGGCCGGAAAGGGCTGCCTCTCTGCTCTTTTGAAGACAATTCAGAAAAAGGGCATTGTAGTCCAGCATCTACCCATCAGTATCTGGTGTCGAGGGCAGGTGTTGACTATTTCAGACCGGAAAGAAAAGGAAGAGAGGAGGAAGGAACTAACAATTATTGAAAAATGCCATGTGCCAGGCATATGTTATCTCATTAAATCCCTAAGTAATCTCTTTAAATAGGCGCATTAATACTTTATAGATGGAAAAACAGAGACCCTACAAAGTTAAAAATCTTGTTAAAAGTCATTTTGGCAAAAACCGCATGGAGACCACATACTGGCTTGCAATTTTGTGATCATTTCAGAACAATTTTGAGAGCAAGCCTTTGGGGTCAGAATGCCTTTCTGTAATCCTTAAATTGCATCTAATACCTACTTTAGCCACAGTAAACGTAATAGATGAAGATTTATATCACATACTGAAGTGTATAAAGCCTTCAAAAACAGATTATGTATTAAATCCTTAAACACCGTAAGATTGCTTTTTCATAAATGATAGTTTTACAAAGACTCAAGAGAGGTTAAGGGAATTTCCCAAGGTTCCTTCTCTCAAAGCCCAGGCGTCTTGTTACTTTGCCCTAGAACACTTGTTAATACCAGACCTGGTCCTCCGACACGTGGTCGCCGTGAGGCACTCCCCCTAGACCTGGGCTAGAGCAGGTCGAGATGCGTTCAGGTTCTGAGCTCTCGCTGAGCCCTGCTGGGTAGCTAGACTCCATCTGTCCATTGGAGGGAGATGAGGACGTCCGTTCCGCTGAGGCTCAGTTTCCCATCTGCGCTCTCTAGTCCCTCACACTCCTGCCGCAGAAACCGGATTTATTTGACCCCTGGAGGGCTGCTCCGTTGGAGTGCTGAACTAGCGTCTCACCACGTGGCCAGAATGGACTGACCGGACAGAACCGTGCAAACACCCTCGGCGGAGAAGGACGCACTCGCCGGCGTCCGGCACTAGGGGGCAGCGCGACGCCAGGAAACGCACGCTGCTCGCCTCGGGGAGCGCGGGCACACAGTTCCCTGGGTCTAATGAAACGGCGCTCTGCAAATGTAATTTCTGACGCTTTTGCTTCGTAGTTTAGGATACACGTCGAGTCCAAATCTCTACTAACTGGCAGCAGTTTCAGGAATAGAAAAATCTTTGGGGAAAAAAATCAAACACAAAGTAGATTTTGGCAAAAGACTATTAAAAATACCCCATCCACTCACATCCCGCGGACACACAGCTTAAGTCCTAAAATTTGAGTTCACCGGGCAGCAAGAGAAACCTAGTTTGGGGAAAACGAAGGTGGACCACGGAGGAGGAACGACGGCAGGGTGTGGACAGCGGGATTCATCACAGCCTGAGCCCTGCCGGGCTCCTGCCTGTGGGCGAATTTGTTGAAGACAGCTCAGAAAGTTTGGGCGTAATTAGTAGCATAAGCCCAGAGAAAGAAAACATTAATCACTGGAGGAAAACGGCCCTGGCGTGCCCGAGGGCGCAGGAAGAGGGTTTCAGTCTGCGCACCTCCGACGCCTGGGGAGGCCGAGTCGGGCCCCCGGGGCCCGCCGGCATCTGCTGTGCGCGGTTCCCGCCGCGCCTTGCCCTCCGGTCCTTATTGATAAAGTCGTTCAAAGGACGGAATGAAGTCATGTATGGACACAATCCATTACCTTTTATTTGCTTTACCAGTCTCACCTAATTTGAAGCCTGACAGGAGGGCGTCTGAAGCCAAACACTCACACACTGGTCTCCGAAGGCAGAAAAGTATCCGCGTCCACGCAGAGAACCTGGCTGTCTCGCGGGAGCCCGTCCCAGAGACAGACGCAGGCCGGGTTTATCACTATTTTTCATAGATTGCAAATTCTCCAGATTTCATTTCGGCATTCCTATTTTCTAACATAATTACAGAAACCTTGTTGAAAACAACCGACAAGTAGCTCTGGGTGACGGGCTGAGACTGCTTCCTTCCCTGAGCACCAGCACTCGCCGGGAAGGCAGTGGCAGGGCAGGCGCTCGGCCCTCCGCCTCGGCCCCGGGGGGCCGGAGACCAGAGCCCCGCAGTCCTCTGCTGGGGACTGACCCCGGCCTGATGAGCGGACCCACAGTGGTCAGCACCTCTCTTTGGAGAAAGAAGACGCATTAAAGACCCGGGTAAAATCAATGCATCGAGGAAGTCCTGTCTCGTTAAGCGTCATCTGACGCTGCGCAGACAGGTGAGCCTGCCCTTTCCGCCGACGCTCCGCTGCAAGGACGGGCTTTGTGTGGAGCAGCTCTGCGGCTGGGCAGACAGGGATCTGCGAGCATCTTGCTCATGCGCGGCTCTTCCTTCACGAGGAGTCTTGGAGCTCCATCGGAAAAGGGGTGTCAGCGTGGGCTGCCGGCCAGCAGAAGAAGTGTTTTTATTACACAGAACTGGCTGCTGTTATCATTGTATTTGTTAAAAAGGAATTCTAACTTAAAATAAATTGGAAATAGAGGTTTAATAATGAGCACACGTTGTTATGTAATCAACGAGGCCAATACAAATGACCAGGATAATGCCATTATTTAATTCCTTGTATTGTCTTTACTAAACAAGTTCTTATTATAGATTCTCCTCTAATTATAGACTCATCACAATTCATTGTAAAGACTATACCTTAGACCCTGCTTACCCCCGGGGAGATGTATCCAAGACCCCTGGGGGTCTGAAACTGCACAGTATCGCACCCTGTATGCACTACATTTCCCCCCGTGCACACACGCCTATGGTGAGGTTTAATGTGTAAATCAGGCACAGTGAGACATTACCAATGACAACAACAAAACGGAACAGTGTAATACTACACTATAACAGAGGTTATGGGAACAGCTTTGGGGCTGTTATTAAATAAAACGAGGGTGACTGAACACAAGCACTGGGGTCCCGGGACCGTCAGTCTGAACCCAGAAGCTCCCCCTCCGTCGGCTCAGGGGCAGGTGGTGTGCCCAGCACGGATGGACGCACTGGCCAAGGGAGGACTCAGTCCCAGGCAGGGCAGCGTGGGGCCACACGGGGTTTCGCCGCGCCACTCAGAATGGTGT